GAATGAATGAATGAATGAATGAATGAATGAATGAATGAATGCTTTATTTAACGTGGATATACGCTTAGCTTGAGAGCAAGTTTACAGGTATTCCACCTAATAACTAAACAACGCTAATGTCATATCACAATTCATCAGGTGAAATCACACATTTAATTCTGATTAATGGTTATGTGGATCAATACTTGCTAATCCTGTAATTTACAGACTCGCACCTAGACCTTTTCGGCTTGAAATCAGGCAATGACCATATATAGAACACCTGTTCCAAATTAGGTCATCATTATCAGTCTCTCGCATTTTGATCACGTTTTCAAAATGACGGAAATTGCTGATGATGCTCTCCACACATGTTTTAAGTGTTTTAAGCAGAAAAAAAAAAAACGCTTTCTCTTAATTAGAACCTGTGTTTACTTGGTTTTGTCTGCCGGTCGATCAATCTCCAGATTTTTACTGAAATCTCCAGATTTTGTTTACATCAGACTCTAGATTTTCGGTGTTTTGAGGTTGAGAGGTCTGCTGAATTTCATTTCAGGTTTTATTTTCACTACTGTTTTAGTATTGTTCATAACTGCGATGATCTCTCGCCTATTCATGAGATAAACATTGAAGCTAGGATTGTATAAACCAGGGCCTACAATACGTAATCAAAAGATATAAAGGCAATGTTCAATCTCCGTGACGGAAATGAAGCACTTGACCGATTGTAATTCAACTGTGACTGTACTGTCCTTGCTCGGAGCACGAAAACACAAACAAGTGTACAAGTAGCTTCTGTCTTAAATCCGATTTCTTGTCCCAGTTGCTGAACACTTTGCAGGTGGGTGTATGACTGAAGTAACTCGCTGGGTGCTCTACTATTAGCAGCCATCTGCTGACTATCGTGTGCGTGTTAAGTGTTAGTATACTTTCGTTCAATATCGTCAGAAAAGACTAGGTTTTACTCCGTAATATTTGAGCCCAAACCTACATGCTCACGACTGAATTGAACAGCATTAAGACTACACTAGTCTGAGGTACATACTCGCCAAAAGTTAACTGACGTCCTATTATGGGTCACTTCGAATCTCATATTAACTACGAAACTGTTAGTCGCGGTTACAAAGCACGTAGCTTCAACATATCGATTCTAGTTATTTGCATCGCCGATACAGTACTTAGTGAATCAGAAACAGTGTTCTCGAGGGGATTTGTAACATTTTTTTTCCTCAGCTACCACCCGAAAAAGTTACAAATCCTTCCAATATATTTTCCAGCGAGTTATTCAGAAAGTTCGATCCTCAATACTGAGCTGTAGAAGAAGATTGTATTTTTGTCCGCCTTGTCAAATTTTACGGGAAGCTCCGTTGCTTGAAAATATATCACCTTGTAGGTCTTGTAGTCTTCTCCACTGACTCCTTTGACGATGCAGCAATTTTTGTTAGGGTCTTCTGCTATCCATTTTGTGCATTCTCTGTACGCTTGCCTGGCGGTTCTCTCGGACCGTTCGTGACGAGGTTGGCCGCAGTTATTTGGCTGGAAACCGGGTCGCTTATAATGTTCAATACTATCAAAATTGCTATTGCTCGCCATAATCATGGAATATTAGATCTGCTCCAAAGTCCCAAGGTCTGAAAACGTTAAAGACGAGTTCTGTTGGTGACTGGTGTCTGGCAATAAACCTTTTCAAGTCTTCGTATCTAAACTTGCTCAGCATATATAATTTGACTGATTCCTGATTCAGTAACTTACAGTATAGAGTTCAAAAGTTAAAACAAAGGCCAGCATTGATTGACAGGCTTTCAAATTAATGTGACGACGCGCATGCATGGTTGCATACTCGGAAATATCTACACACTGTCGGTAATGTACTTTTTGATTTTTGAGCCTCTTTCAATTCCTCGATGCAAGGGTATATCGATGCTTTTACTCTCCTAAAGACGTCAGTGGAATGCTAAGCACTTAAAAACAAACATCGATTAAAGCTGATTTAGCATAACAACTGTAAGCATGTTTAGCTTTATCCATCATCGACCCCCGCCCCCGCAAAATGTAACAGCCCTGTAACAGATATAGAGTATCTATAATTATATACTGAGCACGGTATTGCCCAGTCTAGAAAATTTGTTTACAATTATTCAGCTGACTCGCTTATCCCATAGCATTGTTAACCTGCCAAACAGTCTTGACACGTGCCGACCAAATCCACTTGTTCAGTCGCTTTTTGCTTTCACGTTCCCTCGCGAACTCTCGTAAAATGAGAACTGTCCTCTGTAGTCTACTTTTTTGCCATTTGAAAGAAAAATCAACATCGTAATTTAAAATCGAAACTTTTTCACTTTGCATCCTAGTTATTGTAGTCATGGATTGTTGCAGCAAACGTAAAGGTGGAAAGTCGCTGGCGAAGCGTTTGGACAAGGGGAAGTCTAGTAGAATTTCGTTTAAAGGCTGGTTTTCATTAACGACGGAGTCGGAGTCGGAGTCGGAGTCGTGACCATAAGCGCAGAGCGATACAATTTAGCGAAAATCAAACCGACGGAGTCGGAAGCGAAATACCGATTCTGCTCATGACTCCGTCGCTTATGATCTGGTGAAAACTAAATTGTGGGAGTCGGAAGCAGAAGCCGAAGAATAAACCAATCACAATGCTCGATTCCAGAGAATGTGATTGGTTGGTTCTTCCGCTTCTTCTTCTGACTCCGACAGTGTAGCTTAGCGACACAAGTACAAGCACAAACATAAGCGCAAGGATGCGACAAAACGGCCTCGATACTAGCAAACACTGATCTATAATACACGTGCGGTCCTTTTCTTCGTAGCTTATGTTGGATAATATATATGTTCATGACAGCACCTTGAAAATACGATTTTCAACGTGGTTTTGAAACAAATTTTATTGTTTCGCTAACGGTTCACAGATATTTCAGCTGTCATTTCGGTAGTGTCTCTTATTTTAGTGCTGGTCGTGGATACTCAAAACCGGTTCCGTTTAAACAAATACAATTTGCACCGTCTTGGTTATTCAGGGTTATCAAGTTGCCTCAAGTTGGCTTCACTTGATGTGCTTTTTTTTTTGTCTTTTCTGATTTCTTTGTTCTTGGTAATAAAGGCGAATGCGAGGAACAAGAAAGTATGGAGTCAGGTGATCCAGATATAGGTCAGTATGGCTTTCATTGGAATCAGTAATTATCTACTCCTGAGCCAGAACTCCCCTTACCGCGCCTTGCATAGGGCCTGAATCCTTGCAGGAAAAGAGAGCGTCCTGTGTAACTTGCAACCGCATACTCGGAACGGAACAATCAAATTCGGTAGGTGGGGGTGGGGGGGGGGGGGGGAAAATCCGCGCCCAAATAACTTGGCATCGTATGTTAAACTAGAATCCTCCGCCATTTTGAAAAGAAAATAACACTCACGCAACTGATGTAGCTTTGATAGTATTTTAATATTTAAAGTAATGTAGGTTTCTCGTCAAGTATTGTAAAGAATTTTTGATTTGAAGGCTATATATTTTAAACCATTTTTATATCCTGATGAATTTACCGTGTTAAAATAAAGTTAAGGTCAAATCAAGTTAAGATGCCTCAATATGGAAACTAGTACCAAATATGCTTTTCCCCCAGGAGGAGGGGGAAGGAGAGAATGGGGGATAGCATCGTTTCGAGCATGCGCCTGCAAGTTGCACAGCACTCTTTTTTTCCCACCAGGGTTCAGACCCTCTCACAGGACGAGTCGATCATGTTAATGTTGAACACTGACTTCCCATTTTACCTCCCCAAGTACAGTTTTCAGTAGGTTTCGCCTGGCTGTTTGAGCCTCGTCTTGAATTTTATTTGTTCGCAAATAGAAATCTTTAAACAATTGAAATTTAAATAAAGTGCAAATCGCCATGCTTTAGATTGAGAAAGAAGCTTTACAGGGGCTTCTGGGAGGAGAAATAGCTCTCATGTCGTGTATCTAGGCAACGACGATCCACGAAGCAAGGAAAGGAGTTTGATGCAGGCGATAAAGGATGGCAATTATGACGACATTGAGAGCAGAATCACACCGAGGGCATTCAAGTACTGCGAATCTAATGCCTTGTTGATGGGTATGAAGGTGGGTGCTGTGTAACGGCCACTTTTAATGGTGTATATATACTACGCCTGATTCAAGAATCTCCCCCAGGCGAAGAAGAATCGTAAGCTTTGTTTCTAAATTTTGTTTCGAAATGTATTCTTAGCATGATCGAAGCTGCAAAAGAAACTAATACTTCACTTAGTCTTTCTACAAAGAACTCGAAGCTTTCGTTACTTTCCCTGTTTTTAAGAACATGCACTAGTCACCGTATACGAAACACAATTTACTGGGTGTAGAAAGGAGGATAATAAAGAAAAAGTAACCCTTAGGTTGCTAACTGGGGACATTAACATTAAATTCAAAGTATAATTGAATTCACTCGTTTTATGTAAACTTTATCGAAAAAAAACGCATTGTGATTTTATTAGAAATTTTGATCAACTGGCGTGGCAAAACAGAACAAGATGGTCACCATCTTGTTCTGTTTTGCCAGTTTACAGTTGTGTGCTTAGTTACCTGGCCTGTGAATGCAAGCGAGGCTGGAGGTGACCTTGCTTTGATACAGACCTCTCTGCTTTTCTCATTTAAATGCCAACTATTTAACTTACATAAGAACACTTTGATTTACACAATAAAAACAGTGAGGTCTTTATTAACCCAAGGTCACCTGTGGCCTCGCTGCCATTCAAAGGCCAGGTAGATTAACAGACGACTGTAAAATGGTCTATTGATTCGTAAGGGTGAGAAAAACTTAATTTTGATTTATTTTGTTAATTAACTTTGTTGTTTATTGGATAATCAGGTAAGCTTCGAGCTGCGCAAATTGGCGGACGAAAAAGGACCGGAAGAGGAGAGATTTAATCAGTTGGCGAACGCCGTTGAGGAGTTTACCTCATGCTTACTTGATCCACTGAAAGCTGATCAACAAAGACGAGAAGAATTCGGGGATGCATTAGATGATATTTTAGATGATGCCATTCGCTTAAAACAGAAAAAGGTACCATTGAAGCTGAATATTGAGATCTTTGTAAAGGACAGTTGAGAACGTATGGCTTTGTTGTATGCTACAAGCTTACGGCTAGCCCGCGGTACAAATTGCACCGTGTAAATTAAACCAAACCCCCTGTCGCGCAAGACACATTAAATATTGCAGGATCTTAAAACACGTTTTAAGCCGTGCGACAGTGGTAGGTAAAAGCAGAGTTGGATAATCAAAGTTGTACATCGGTTTTTTTGCATGGCGGGAGCAGCGCGCTACAAAAGTTACATACCGCAGTTGTAGCAAAAGTTGTTGCCTCTAAATCGGCCTTAAGATTAATTACTTGCTTTTGATGTTGAGCTAGATCACATGCAATAACCATGATTTTTCCTTTCTTTTGACTGGCTGCAGTTTTTTACGCATCCGGTCGTGGATATTGAGATGAGACGCAAATGGTATGGTCGTGACTTTATGAAGAGTGGATGGAAAAGGTGGAGACCTATCTTCAGTGTTTGGTGTCTTCTGGACTTGGTGATTTCTCCAATCTTGTTTGTTTTGTGTTGGTTGATTTGTTATCACCGTGAAAGGAAAAGAGAAGAAGAAAAAAGGAGTGGAAAGAAAGAGAAAGGTATTTGTGAATAGATTCAATAAAATGGGTGTGGATAAGATTATACTTCGATGAAAACGTCAATTCGAAAGACATTTCAACCGCTAAAGAGAGAGGTTTTGTTTACCGAATCTGTATTATCTTACAATGCAGGTGATAGTGAATTTTACGGAAACAATTAATAACAAAAGTGACAAAATTGATTAAGCCTTGAAGGTTCGTGACTGTTTGCTTTGCAACTTGGATCGTAAGATCTTCCTGCAAACCATGTTTAAAAGTAATCTCATTTCAACAGATATGCCACTCGAAGAAGTGACTACTGGTGAGGAAGAAACGCTAAGGCCGCAGGTAAGGAAACGGTCAGGTTCTAAAAAGAACTTTAAGGGGCTCAGTCACGGTATTTTGAGTTACTTTGACCACATTCAGAATTACCTTTAAATGGTAGGAAACCTGAAAATAACAGTTTAATAAGATAGAAAAACACCAAAGAGATAATGATAAACTATAAAGGAAAGAGAATGGCTAAGGATGGAGAGGATTAACACGGATTACAAACGACGAATTTGAAAAATTGAGGCTAAACTTTTCAAGATGCGCAAACCGTGACTGACCTCCTTTAAAGAAACGGCGCATACGCTTCTCTGAGGACAATGTAACGGCGTTTGAAAATCGATTATATGCGTTATCTCCTTTGGCTTTCTCCTACTGTTTAATCTACCTAGGCTTCCCTTGGTAACAGAGAAAATTGTCGCTTAACATGCTAAGCAGTTGAGGCTGAATCGTAAACTATCCGATTGTAGTCACATAGTCAAAAATAAGAAATTGTGTCACTCAAATCATTTTTTCCCGCTTTTTCTCCCCTTCATTACAGAAAAAGAAAACCAAGAATCGGTTGCCAGGTAACCACGGTAAAACTTGTTAAATTAATTGTACGGTTATCTCCATCAAATGTTTCATTTCCTGTCGCTGGTTCTCTTGCGAAATAGTTCACTTCATAAAGACTGGGATAGAGAGTGCATGTACGAGCGAGACGGGGTTTGGGAGCGCTAAGGTGAACAAACATGGCGAAAGATTTTCTTCATTTGCCCTTTTGCAAAATGTCAGATGCGAGGATTTTCTGAAAGTATTCGTGCATAAAGTTAAACATCAGCTTGCATATTTTGGGATTTCTTTTATGGTTCGGAATTCCCAAACAATCCCAGAATCGCCTGAGGGGCTACTCGATCCCAGGCGCCCACTCTTTCCCAAAGCGAGCTATTGGACAATGTCTTTCCCAGGGTCTCTCCTCTCCCCTTCGTTGGCTATTGAATTGGTCCATACGTCATCGGCTAATTTGACATAATTCCTATTTATTTGGAAAGAAGTAAAAATTCAATGTTTCGAGAGCTCAGTTACTCAGCCGACTACCTCACCCCACTGGAGAAAACGCATATTGTGAAGCCACAGAGACAATGCCCGTGACTCTAAACAAATACTCTCAGATGACTAAAATAGCAAGATGTACGAGCACTAATCTAAAAAAAAAACTATCCATCTGTGAAGTGAATTTTGAATTTACTGTGGTATTTTATTTCAAATGTTTCTCACCTGAAATTATTTTGATTTTTGTTTATTTAGTGACACAGATTTATCAAATATCCTTGGACACGCCTTACTTCAAGTTTGTACGTGATAGTCTAAGCTTCGTAGTCCTGCTTGGCCTCCATTTTGCCCTGTGCTTAGCGCCATCAAGCATACCGTTCAGTGGATTAGAGTGGGCCATACTTGTATTCTTTATTGGCCGCTATCTGGTAGAACGCGAACAGATCTTTGCGGTAATTCACAGTATGAAGAGGCAGAGAAACAGCGGAGATGATGGAAATCAGTCGAACATCTTGTTAAAAGCGTTTTTGTTGTATCAAAGGTAGATACTTTATATGATTTATTATTATATGGCCATGGCTTTGCAAAATACACTGCTCGTGTTCATGGTTGCTTTCTGCTTACATCCAATCGATAATTCGAACGATGTATTTTCTAGTTACTTGATTGATTGATTGATTGATTGATTGATTGATTGATTGATTGATTGATTGATTAACGGACTGATGAACTGACTGACTGCATGCCTCTTTGATTGACTTTTTGATTGATTCATCGATCGATCGAACGATCGATCCCGTTTGATCGGCCGACCGAAGGACTGACCGAACGAACGAACGACCGACGAATCGAACGATCGATCGATTAACTTATTGACCGTTACTGATTCCTTCGTAATCTTTCAGGGACTTGTGGAACAAACTGGACTTCGTCACTCTGTTAGTTTACTTGGCGATAATTTCATTAAGAATAGCTACTTTTATCATGTCTGGTTCAGTGGCAAACAACCGAGTCTTAGTGATTGCTGGCTACCTCTACAGCTTTAACACTTTGTGCCTCACGTTCAGAGTTTTTGGTCACGTGATGGAGCAGTCGAAAGACGTTGGAACCATCCAGATTGCCTTGTTCAGCATTCTCAAGGACATTCGCACAATAATTTGGCAGTTCACAGCAGCTATCTTTGCTTTTTCTATCGCTATAACAAAAGTGTACATGGCAGAGAACTCTTTTGTTGCAAATGCAAGGGACAGAAATGAGCTGTAAGTGTCCCTTTCAGACTCTTTCTCTTTTTTACACCCCATCTATACAACAACTACTAGATGGAAAAACTATGGAGATACATCTCCGTACTTTGGCCGGGTAGTAACTTAAAAGCACCTAAAAGAACAGTAAAGTGGCAGCCACACACAGCTGTTTCCTTCTTTCAAAATTTCGGCGATCAACTATACATGCGTTCTCGACCGTTCTCGTCTAATCCATCTTGTAAGGTATTTTTTAAAATTGAAATACCGCGCAAACAAATAGCTATTACTGATTTCATTTCTTTGATAAAAAAAATGAGCATTTTATTAATACTTATGGCTACGGTGTTGATTGGAGCGTCCACTACATGTACATGTAACAGAACGAGTAACTGGTCTTTCACTCCTGACTAAAAGAGAATATTTTTCCAGTATTAAAATGTTATGCGTTTTTGCTGTAGTGATTTAAAGGCATGGTCTGGCGTTTTGTAAGACAGTCCGTAAGTTCAGTTAAATATCTTAATGAAAATCCCTGGTAATACAGTATTTATAACAATTCTACTTTTCTTTAACTTGTTTGTGTTACAGCGCTTGCAAAGAGTCCGGTATTTCATGGTAAGTTGGTGTGTCAAAAATGCCACGTACTAAAACTACATTTACAACCTGAGGTAAAATACCAGTTACAGGCCAAAACCTGAATACTATGCGTTCTAACTCTTTTATTAATCGTTTTATATTTAAATACGACTTAGCATTATATTTCAATCTGTATCCACGTCTACATCGTGTAACATAAGATATGTATTTTTATCTTTTAAAACAGCAAAAGCTATTATCATTATCATTATTATACGGGTCACATGATAATATCTTGTTTTAACGTCTTTCGTCTTTTGGCAGTTGGTGGAAGATGATTATCTACATGGGCTGGACTCTGTTAGGAGTCTCAGATGATTTTGATCCAATGAAGTCCGTCGATCTCCCTTCGATGATTCTAGCTCAAGTTCTCCTCGCTTTTTTTCTTATCATGGGAGTTATCCTTCTGATCAATATGTTGATAGCCTTGTTATCCAACACGTATCAGCGAATTGAGGTAAACGAGTGTTAAAATAAATTACTTAGATAGCCTCCTTATCCAACACGTGTCAGCGAATTAAGGTAAATTAGTGTTAATATAAATTATTTAGATAGCCTTCTTATCCAACACTTTTCAGCTAATTGAGGTAAACGAGTGTTAACATAAATTATTTGATAGCCTTCTTATCCAACACGTATCAGCAAATTGAGGTAAACGAGTGTTAAAATAAATTACTTAGATAGCCTTCTTATCCAACACGTGTCAGCGAATTGAGGTAAACGAGTGTTAAAATAAACTACTTAAAAGACAAAGCAAGATACCTGTTGAGTTTTCGAGTGTGGTCATTTATCCTACGGTGCATTCTTTTGATACTATTCCGAGACTGGAATACTCGAAATAGACAGGAAATGGTAAATTTGGCGAGAAAATCATGCGCGTCCCGTGACGTGGCACCGGAAGTTTGGTCCAGACTATTTCGGTCACCCCCGCTGAGAGTATTTTGTTTTTAGAATATTTGTTCTACTGGAACACCAAAATCCATGTATTCAAAACTTGAATCTTTGACTCCAAAACGGAAAAAATGCCCTTGACAATGCCCCTCTCAGAGCACGAGACTGACAAATTACATATCAATGTTCCGAAACTACTCGTGTTGTTTTTTTAAGCGAATTTTTTGGTATTTTTTTCTTTCTGTACTCTGCATGCCAACAAAAGTCTAAAATCTAAATAACAAGTCATAAAATTAATTTGAAACCGCATGCATCACCCGTCTCCAAGTTCTAGACTTGCTCTGGCAAAAGTCAGCTCTCGATTCACTTTACGGTGACCAATTTATCTTTTGGAGTAATTGAAATAAGCCATGTTCACTTTACACTTTTGATTTTTTCCAAGGACAACTCGTTAAAGGAGTGGTCATTCAAGAGAGCAGCGGCAATTCAAACGTACGATGAATATGATCCAATACCAGTGCCTCTTAATATCGTTTACAGCATCTTCAAGCTCTGCAAACTGGTTGGCAAGAAGGACAGAGGAAAGGTATGAGCTAAGCGTGTTTTGGACGATGGGTCAAACACGTGTCCCAATAGCGGTTAAAGTAAAGTACAGTTTAAAAGGACGGGCCGACGATTCCACGTTCTTTCCTTGTCTTCGAACGCTCACTAGCGATAGATTCCATGAGATTCAATGAGATGGAAGATATTTGTTATTATCTGTGTGGGCGGATTAGGCATTCAAACGTTAAAATTGCCTTAAAATTACCACTCTACGCATTTCCTTCTTTGCACGCTGGCAAAGATCAATGACTCGCGCATCCTGCAGCTTCTTTAATGTCAAAGCCGTGTTAAAATTACGACCAATCACATATCATACACCGAATATTTCCCTATACATCAAGCAGAAGGTCGTAAGTAAATATTTAACCTAAAGTTTACACGTCAATAATCGGTCAATATGGTGCTAAAATCTTTTATTCTTTCTTTGTATTTCAAGGGAATAATGCTGGAATTTATTGCCATCGACCTCGACAGGGAATACTTTAAGAAGTATGGGAACTTTCTCCCTTCAACAGGTAAATCTGTTTCCTATGCAAGCTCGAGTATTGGGTGAATGAACTCTTGTCTCTTTAGCTTATCATGAAAGAACCTGCTGATTAACCGTACGAGAACGTTTAGTTAAAAAACCAGAGGAAAGTGAGAAATACAGCTACTACGTTGAAACAGATTAACCATATTCCTTTTTTATTTAGCTGAGGAAAGAAACAACATTGTGTTTCGTGAAACAGTTGGAAACCGACAAATGGTCGGACAAATCCTGCGCTCGGCCTACATGCCCCAAGGAGTTGATAAAGGGATTCTGTTTTTTGGTCCTGAGGTAACCGGATCATGCGATGCACTATAGACATGTATAAAAGGCTACTCAACCATAGGTTTAATCGTTGAGAATTCAAATACATAGTTATTGTAGTGCGAGGTTTTGAATGAACATATTTGATATCAGTAGTAGCTTTGGAAGAAAAGAAAGTAAAGGAAACAGAAAGAAGAGGAAGGAATGAAAATATTCGCCACAGTTAACGTTCCATCTCTGGATCGTTTTTGTTTATACGTTAAATAGCATGCATACTGAAAGAGGAACAAGTTCCCGTTTCCGTTTATATTTGATATCCTGACTGTTGTAGGCATGGGAATCCCACATCGGCATACAAATAGAAGGCTCTCTCCTGACTTGTACTTCTACCGAGCAATGTACCAAATGCAGTCTTCGGCAACGTAGCCAGCGTTGGCCGAGCGCTAGATATTGTAAGCCCTTTTCTGTCGAGTTTCCTCATTTTGAGGTGAGTAAACGGCGATCTCACTTTATATGAACTATAAGAGCTAATGATCTGCTCGTAGAGGGTCAATGACGTCCATGAGCTGGCTATAAAAGGATCACAACGATAACGATAACGATAAAGGGTAAAGGTAACGATGTTGTTGTTGAAGATGGCGATGATGATGATAGTAGTAATGAAGGTGGTGATGGTGATGGTGATGATGATGACGACGATGATGATGATGATGACGACGATGGTAGTAGTGATGGTGATGAGAAATGATGATGGTCATGGTCATGGTGGTGGTGACGATGACGATGATGATGATGATTAAGATAATTTGCGTAGCAGGCGCTGGAGAAAAATGGAGCTCAAGTTGGAGCGGCGCCCGCGAGAAGGAGATTTTTCTTTCCTCCTCGCCCGATTCTTCCCTCGTGCACGCCGCTTTACCCAGCTTGCGCCCCATTTCTTTCTCAAGCGCCTGTTTCGCTGGGTATGCAAAAAAAACCACAAAGACTTACCAACGTTTCAGTGAGAGGATTACCGAACTCAACTACCTCTTATTAACAAAAGGCTTAGGATTTTCCGAACAGTTGCAGTGGCTCAAAAGGCACCAAAAGACATGAACATTTCGTAGTTCAGTTGTTTAAACAAATGCTCTATTGAGTTGCATGTCGTTCAGTTAGTGGTAGAGATTGTCACGTTTTAAGCGAGCCAAGGCTTTAAAACTTTAAGGTGATCGGACTTGGGGGAACTAAATGATATCTTTTTTAATCACTTCTTCAGGTTGTCATTTTAGAAAATGGACAACTCATAACGCTGGGAATAGGAGTGGTGAATGCAGGTTACGATACTTGCAGAATGCCAGGGTGGTTGGATGGATCCGTGGCATATCATACCGATGGAAACCTCTACGATGCTGATACCTGTGACAATGGTACAGAAACCAAAGGTATTTAATTTCACAATTTCTCAAACTCATTAACAATTCATCAAGTTAAAACAAAGAAAATCACAACCGTGAAAGAGGTTTGGATACCCGGTCTTATGTAGCATAGATTTTGACGATTTTACTTCTCCGTTTACTCCTTAGTTTTTGTTTCGATTGAGAAGATATATCAAACACTCGAGACAGTGTTTCATCGGCTATCCAAACACCTCGAATTTCGTCAAAAACCCTCCGCTGCGCGCCGTATTTCCAACTCTCTTCTCGGTGTTTGGATATCCCGATGAAACGTTGTCTATCGTGTTTGATATATTACATCTCACACAGTCAATAAGGCTTCGATGTGATTCATTCAAGTCTATAGCTAAAGGCGATGTTACACAGTGAAAGTTAACGTAACATTGTTGGTTTAAAAGTTGTTGCCGTGTAAAATAGTCTCCTTCGCAGCCGTTATTAGGGTCGTCACGCAACGCTTCTTCCCCACTTACGGCCGTTAGTGGAGAAGCGTTGCGTGACGACCCTAATAACGGCTGCGAAGGAGACTACGTGTAACGGTGCGCGTAAAATTTTTACGAAACAATTTGCTGCGGCAACCGATTACAAGAAACAAAAAGAAAGGCGACATAAAAATTAAAGGATCAAGGAGTAAATTATCAGCGAACTAACTTTATAGATACAAATTCATGTACATTGAAGAGATAACGCTGATTTCTTCGTCGATAGCTGAGTTGATTTTGCTTCCACCTGGCTTTAATTAGTCTGTCGTAGTCACTGAGGAAAATTGTAAAGACAATGACTTTGTACAACTCCAAAAGATAATCATTGTGGTCCAGTAAACGAGGCGGAACGATACAATTACTGAGCATTTTTTTAAAAAACGGCAAAACGGTCTTAATAACTTGGTGCTTGTCTTAAAGCGGTTTTCAATTGAGTGCATTACAACCAAAAACAAAGCAATTGCTCAACAGACCAATCACATCAGACGCAAACCGCGCAACGAACCATCCAGAAATCGAAGCAATTACACGTAACCGACGCTAAGCGCCGAAAAATAATCCCGACGGAGTCACGATTGGTTTGGTTATCCTTCTCATTGGTTGAGAAAGTAGCACGAGTTTTCCAACCAATCACAACCCCTAAATAAAGCAAAACTTAAGGAAACGAGAGTTGCTTTCGACGCTCATTTTAAAAACCTCTCCCATGGTTTGTGTGTAGCGCTTCTACCATATTTTTGCAATCATTGTGTCTTTTCGTGATCCAGGTCCCGCTGTTGCCTTTCGAGGGGATCGTGTTCTCTGCACAGTTATGTTTGAGAAGAAGCGTGAGAGAAAGGGAAAACGTCAAGTTGCAGTTTTGTTTACGCTGAACGGCAGGAAGATAATTATCAGTGATGAAGAGGAACCGGAGATTTACATTGACTGGGACATCGATAAACCGCTGTACCCTTACGTCAGCATGAATTACGGAAGTAGCGTGGTGGCGAAGGTAATATCTCAAATGGGGGAGAGGTGGGGGGCGTGGGGGGAGGGGTGGAATACTGCCCCAACGGAGAACTTTTGAGGAGAGTTTGGCGACCGAGTCTCATAGACCAACTGCTCAAAGGGAGGCTTTTTAGACGAAAACTACTCTGCCATGTAAACTAGAATCAATCACGAATTACAACGATCGTTGCATGAGGGCAACAACACTGCGATAGCATAATGGCAGAAGGGACGGGGGGAGGGAAATTCTCCGAAGCTTACCAATTTTGTTGTTTTGGAATTAGACAATGATTTGTGATCTGATCAACCACAAGACGTGTTAGAGATATAACTTAACTTGCGTGGTGGTGGGGTCAAATTCTTCTAAGCTTACCCATTTTATTGTTTTGGAATAAGAAAATGATTTGTGATTCGATCAACCACAAGACTTGTTAGAGATATACCTTAACCGGCTGGCGTGGTGGTGGGGTCAAATTCTTCTAAGCTTACTGGACAGCTTTTGTAGTTTTGAAATAAAGATTTACGATGTGATCAACCACGAGACTTGTTAGAGAATTAATTTAACTTGATCGTTAAAAGCCATTTAAAAACGCCTTTAGCCAGCTGTAATAATGATTGCATAATTTTTTCTGGCATATCGTATGGAGTCACTTAACTGACCTGAAATTCAGTTTTGATTTCTTTGTTTCTTGCATGCTTATTATTCAAGATGTGCCCTAGGGAAAGTGAGGAGTTTAAAGTATCCAAGATGGCGGAACTGGACCGAAAAGTGACAAAGATAAAGGCAAGCTTGGAGGAGAACAATCGGAAACTTGACACCTTGTTAGCGAGATTTGCAAACCGAGAAACCACCAAGACTAGGCGTGAAACTCCGGACGAAAACGAAGGGAAAATCAAGGGAGATCTCTAATCTGTAAACACCAAACCTTTTTCGTTTAGAGTTTATTCGCCTGTCATGCTTGTAACGTACGTATGAGTCTTTCGATAAAACACAAAGCGCAACCCATCAAATGAAGGCTATTTCAAGCCGTAACGTTTTCCTAGTATGGCGACGCGGTGCTTTTGGTAATAATTTTAATCACTACTTTTGTAAGTATGGAGTTAATGTAATAAATCCAAATATCTAAATCTAACCCTGGTCTGCAGCCTGGATTTTTCCGCATTTTATCTTCCGGACCGCAGTCTGTCGGGAGTCTGTAGTCTGTGGTCCGCAGTTTCCGTTTTAAACTGACCGAATCAAAAACCCAGTGTAAAATAAGCTTACTTACACTGTAAACCTTTAGTCAACCCCGGAAGATAGAAGCCTACCACTATCAACAATGAAAACTGAGAAACAAGAGATATCAGATGGCTCACCTCTTAAATCTTTTCAAGCTGCCTTCTTGTGTCAAAATTCCATTCAAATTCGAATTCTTCAGCTGCAGGTTCGTGAACAAGTTGCTTGTGTACAAAAAGATCTGACATGTTTCTAACTGAGCACGAATTGTTCCGATACCTAATAAAGAGGAAA